ATATATATATATATATATATATATATATATATATATATATATATATATATATATATATATATGCATACACATTCTCTAAGAACATGATTATTGTAGTTTATAGAAGCTGCTAATCTAGAACAGGCCACAAAAACAGAAGTTCCGGTTTTATATCATGAGGCTTGGCAACAACTTTGTAGAAGCAAGTAAGTTTTCCAGCACAATATGTTTCTACATTCTAATTTATGTATATCTGAAATTATTAATTGTATAAAATTATAAATTTAATATAATAGATCAAAATACTGAAAGTTGAATCATAGAAAATTAATTTAATAAAAATTTACAAATTATAAGTAAAATTATTTAGATTTAAGTTACAAGAAATGAAATTAAAATTATAAATTATATATTAAATATATTTATGGTATACCTCTCTAGCGGCGTCATTGTACCAGGTGGTTTTGGAAAAAGAGGAATGGAGGGAAAAATGGAGGCGTGCAAATGGTGCAGAATGAACGACAAACCATTCCTTGGTATTTGCCTGGGTCTACAAGCGGCAGTTATTGAATTTGCGCGAAATGTATTAAATCTCGAGATGGCAAATACAACAGAAATCGATCTGAGTACCGCTCATCCTCTGGTGATAGACATGCCAGAGCATAATCCAGGACAAATGGGGGGAACAATGAGGCTCGGGAAAAGACAGACACAATTTATCAACAATAACTCTATTTTAAGTGAGTGACGAAATTTATCAATCAACTAAAATCATCCGTTTTTTTCAAATTAACATTTATAAATATTTGTATACAGAAAAATTATACGATAATAAAGATACAATAGAAGAAAGGCATAGGCATAGATATGAAATAAATCCGGACTACATTGCCGACTTAGAAGCAGCTGGTTTAAAATTTGTAGGTGAGTTACACATTGCATCTCCTTTAAGGACAAATTTTTTCTAAGCACTAGAGAGTTGAGACATCAGTTACTATTAAATTTGTATACTAATACGTATTATATGATAATGATATTTAGTAATAATAATGAGAGACAATTAGGAACGTGACAAATATTTTTGTGCTAGGTCGCGACGATCAGAACATACGAATGGAAATTGCTGAATTGGAAGGACACAGTTACTATGTAGCCACACAGTTCCACCCGGAATATTTGTCGAGGCCATTAAAACCCTCGCCGCCATTCCTCGGCTTAATTTTAGCTAGCGTGGGTAAATTAAAGTATTATCTTGCGCGAGGATGCAAATTTTCACCTCGCCAATTGAGCGACAACGAGTCAGGTGAGAGAAAGAAATCAATGAACATATATATGTATGTATATATATATATATGTATATATATATATATAAATTTTTAAAATTTATAATTTTTAAAATAAATAAATAAATAAATAAATAAATAATATATATATATATATTATTTATTTATTTATTTATTTATTTATTTTAAATAAAACCCTATTTCCGAAAAAAAAAAAAATATATATATATACATAAATAGCTGTAATATGTTTTTGGAATATATATGTGCATATTTTTTATAAAATGGAAATTCATAAAAAAATGCTAATTGCAATATATGAATTGTTGCAGACGAAGAATATACGCAAGAAAGAATAACGAAAATACAACTATCCAATGGTGTAAGTAGAAGCGGCAGTAGTACGTCGGGCGTCAATGATTAGGATGCAGCTTTCCAAATTTTATTAGCAATTTTTAGCAGACTAGCAGTTTCTAGCAGATTTCTGACTAGTCTTCGAAACTGCGTTTCAATATTTTACGAAAGGTTCTAAAGTTAACTGGAAAGTTACTGCAGTGCGATTATGTAACTCGTTAAATGCAGTTAACGACAGTTTCATTGTCGTTGCGCAGCTTTTTTTATACCGTAGAAAAGCTGCGCAACGATACGACATCTATCGTTAACTGCATTTAACGAGTTATATAATTGCACTACTAGGGAGTTAAATAAAACCCTATTTCCGGAAAATGAATTTGCGCGGTGAAGTTTTACGCCGCATAAATAGACTCATAGTAACATAGATAATTCAAATTTTTATCCTCGTTGAGAGAGTAACACGCATAGCTTCCTTCTTTTGTAATTTTAACGATTTTACCAATTTATTACCTATATGAACGAAGTACCCAAATGGTCTCGAATTTTTTTAATAATACGTTTTTATATGGTACCCTAGTAGCATGATAATTTTACATACGTTTTCTAAACGTATTTATCTTAATAAATCTTTCGGAAATTTTTGTAAATGTTACGTACTATCTCAGGTAAAACAGATAGTCCAAATAATGTCAATCTGATGTCACTTTGACCAAAAAGTGACGTAAATTTATTCAACATTTGGTCAAAATAACGTCAATCTGACGTTATTTTGACTATCTGTTATACCTGGGACCTGATTAATCTCATTTTTATCAGTTATAATCGGGCGTGTATAATAATATATATCAGGCGTGTATGATAAAACCAAAGAGAAATCTGAGAACGGCCACGCCATATGTTTTTGTCGACACCGATTTTCACGCTGTTCGATGCACCATCTGCACTCATTTTTGAGGTTGAACTACATTCCCTACGCTCATTTTCAGACATTGGTAAAGTGTCGATTTGTTGTGTGTCCATTCTACGCCCATTTTCTGGCGATTCATGTCCATGCTAAGCGCATAATTGTATAGTTAAGAACATGGATAGTTTATGTTTTTAACCACGCAATTATGCGCTTAACACGGACACGAATCGCCAGAAAATAGGCGTAGAATGGACACACAACAAATCGAAACTTTACCGACAATGTCTGAAAATAGGCGTAAGGAACGTACCTCAAAAATGGATGCAGATGGCGCATCAAACAGCGTGAAAATCGGTGTCGGCCAAAACGTATAGCGTGGTCGCTCTCAGGTTTCTCTCTGATAAAACATATTAATTGAATTAGATGTGTAAACTATTGTAGGTTTTACATATTTTAATAAAAATTAAGTTTCGCCAAGTTTTTCTGTATATGTATGTACACAATGTGTCGAAGAACCACATTCCCTTTTAGTTACTAACAACAAAAAGAACAAAATAATATGAAAATACAATTTTTAATTATACCGCTTAGAATAAGAAGCTACAATTGTAAAACTTTAAATAAAAACATTTTTGTAATCATAAAATGTCACATACATCTCAGTTTTTCAATTACTTTACATAATATATATTGTATAGTAGAATACAATACTTTTAATCTCATTTAATTTTATAGTGAAAAGAACAATTTTATATTATGTTTTCCATATTTACGTGATATATTGAAATTATATATTTTTTCACGAACTTTATTGCAATGCGTTTCAGTATAATCTATAACCATTTAAGTTTTGCCTACTTTTTATAATTACGAAAACTTATCATTTTATTTTTGTGTGTTTTGTAAAAGTAAGCCCTTGTTAAGTTATACTATTTGAAAATAACGAGACTTTCTGCTTTACGATTGAATAAAATTTCATATATATATTTATTACCATTCAGCTATATACATTAAATAGCCAAGAAGGGGACTTGGTTTACATTAAACAACTACCTCACACATTCCACACATCCACCATTCATTCATTCTTTCCATTCCTCCATACTTTCTATATCTATATCACATTAAATTCTCCTCTCTCTTTCTTCTTCCCTTTACCCCATTTCACTTTATCCTTTTTCTTTTTCTTTTTCTCCTACTCTTTCTCTCTCTTTGATTTTACCCTCCCTTTCTCTCCACATTCTTTTTAATACTTTCCCTTTAATCTCATCGATTTCATCATCCCATATCCTTTCTTTTCCCCTACCTTCCATATTATCCATCTCCTCGAACCATCTCTTTCCCCACTCACATGTATACATATAATGATACATCTCATCCTGCTCCTTCCCACACATTACACACTTTCTCTCTTCCTCCTCTAACCAATACTTATTTTTTAACTCCAGATTACCGCACCTTAACTTAATAAGCGCTCTCACTTCTCCCCCCGCCTTTGCTCCCATCCTTATCAAACTGCTCTTTTCCAAATACTTATGTCCCTCCCCTATCTTCCTTATATCTTTATACCTTTTATTATACTTTGCCTCCCTAATCTTACTTTCTATCCACTGTTTTTGCACGTCTCTTTCCCTTTTTACTATCTCTCCCTCCATATCCCACCCTCCTTCCATTCCTTCCTTAACTCTTTCTACACCCCATCCATTCCTATTATAATAACTTTCCCTTTCCTTCCAATATAAATCTTTCCCTCCCCTTTCTTCCTTTTCTTCCCAACACTTTTTGATTAGTCTCTCTTCACTACTGTTCCTAATTTTTTCTTCATACCTTTTCGCCCTTATACCCCATCCTATTTTCAATTTTTCCATTCCTAGTTCATACATAATTATATACCTCGGTGTACAGAAATCCAATCTAAAAATCCACCTTACATAATCCATCATGATTCTTTCTAATTTCTCTTTTTCCTCCGAATAAAATGTTGTAATTTGTTAAATAACAAGACGTCTGATTTGCCATTGAGTTATACTACTTAAAAATAAAAAATAAGAAATATAATATTATAGAATTCTGTCGCACTGAAAAACACATAGGCCGGTATTCATAGTCGAATCTTAATTCAAAATCGTCTTAAGTAATGTCTTAAGATGCGAATATGGTTCTGTGATTGGTTTATGACATCTTAAGACAGTACTTAAGATAATCTTAAATATAAGATCGTACTATGAATATCGGCCTATAATTCATGGGTGCTTTCCAGTTGCGTACACTGTGTTACACAAAACCAGTTTATTGGTTGCATATTATCTTACAAAATATTTTAGATAATATGTGACTAATAAACTGGTTGTGTACGTGTGTGTCAAGATGTGTTAAGCAATTGGAAAACACCCCATTACCATAAAATTTCAGCATTAGCAGTGAATTTCGGAACGCAGCCTGTGGTCTGTTCTTTTCAGCTGCACTACTGGTGCAATAAGTTAAAGTGAGAAAAAATATACTTGTCTTATAGCGAATTCGGTTGTTTGCACTAGTGTGCACTGAGTGCGCACTAAGGCTTGTTCATAGTATGTTATTATATTTAAAGATTGTCTTAAATAATTCTCAAATAAATTCTCAAATATTTTTAACCATAATATGATATGTATAACATCCGTACGAATCATTTTATTAGTTAAAATGTTTTTAAATATGTATTTAAGACACGATCTTAAATATAAGAATGTACTGTAAACAAGCCTTAATGCGCACTCAGTGCGCACTAGTGCAAGCTACCGAATTCGCTATTACTTTAACTTACCAATTCAGCAGTGCAGCTGAAAAGAACAGACCACTGGATAAGCCTTTACAAAGTATTCCCGCCAAATGCAGTCTCGCTAAACTTCATAGTGTGGTTATTGACAGTAGATCTGTATTACAATAACTGTATTACAATAGCTAACAAAAGTCGACTGGTACCAGTTATAGCGTTTTGTCTTGTGATATTATAAAAGCAAGATTGGCGAAAGTATATTATATTATAAATAATAACAATGGTAAAGTTTTAAATTTAAATATATGCATATTGATGCTCATATGGCTATTGAATTATTACTGATCATTATAAATTTTTAATGTAACATTAACTTTATTTTGTTTTTTAGAGATTCCTTTAAGTATTATATCATTACAAAACAACTATATGTTTTTCTTATATACACATACACACACTTGTAAAAGAAATATTTATATTGATCAGTGATAACATTTATATTTATGATACATCTATAATCATACAAGAAAAAATGCAGCTTATATAATATTTGATTTTATCATTCTACTATAAGAGTGAACAAAACAGCTCCCCTGTACGTTCTGAACGAAATGCAGAGGCAATGACCTCACCTGCACCTGATATAGATGAACCATTCGAAGATGAATCTGATTTACTTGGTGAAGAAAATGAAGGCAATATTGTGGAAGAAGAGGAAGAAGGAGAAGAATTATTTGGAGATAATATGGAAGCGTAAGGATTTAATATTTATAATATATTCTTTATCTCCAATACATATATATATATATATATATATATATATATATATATATATAT